ACTGCTCTTGTGTTTCGTATACCTTGTTTCCCTGACACCCATAACCAAGGTTTGTCACACCGTATTTCCGAGGGTTCTCACGCAAAAAATAACCCCTTCAACAGGTAGCAAAACCGTGGGAACATATTCGTTTTATTTGAGGAAACCCGGCTTCCAATCGTCCTCTCACACCGAAGAAAGAGCCACTCAACAGCGATACCACGAGTTGTAGCGTTGTAAAGGGGGTGTTGTGTTCCGACCCCCCTCTTCATCTCATCTCTCCAACCTCCGCTGGCCAAAGGGCTACCGTCTCACCTTCACGCCTGGCCTCTTATCCGAGGACTTGTACGCAACGAGCAACGAACCCGGCCCCACGCCTCCGTACCATCGAACGCCATCGGTGAGGTCACCAAGAGTCGACGGGCACGCCAGAATCGGGTCGCCTGGTGTCGCTTGGCCCTCATCGCCATCCTTAACGGTCTGACACAAACAGAAACGTGTTATTGGAGGGCGGGAGGGATACCCAGACAGGCAGGGATGGTGGATATTTTGAGTGTGGAGAGGCAGGGCAGAATGTAGCGTTCTGCGGCAAGATGGTCCTCGTCATTCACCATCGTCGATTGCCCCGCGCAAAAAAAAAGCGAAAGTACTGTTCAGGGCGGAGTATCGAAATGAAACAATGATAGTCACGATCGTGAGGCTTGGTTGATAGTTAGGAACGTCCGTCCAGCAATATATGTATGAAGACGCACGAGTCGAGCCCCAAGCAAGTCTCCTTCGGAAAGAGGGTTGGGGCGCTGCCGCTAACCAGCTCGTATGGAGCGATCAAGAGGAGTAGAACACAAAAAATAACGTACACAATTCCCTGCACAAAACTGACTTTGGGACCACGATGGTGTCGAAGGTGATGGTGTGATGTGAATGGAGACGGAAAACCGAGGAACCAACCCATTTTATTGGAGACAGGATAAAGGGTTTTCGGGAACGCTAGCTGTCCATGTCTCCCGTAGCCCGCCCAAAGGGCGCAAGAGGTGCCGCCAGCTGTCAGACCACACTTTCAAATGTTGGCAGTGCTCGTGGCATATCCAGCAAGTGCACGTGTCCATTGCCGCAGCATCAGGTATCGCCACAGCGTCGGTGATCAACAAACCCACTCACTAGCAGTGTACGGGGCTTGCACTGTTCCCGCTTCTTTTACCCTAGCGGGGAGGGTGTCTCCGGGAGCCGAAAATTACATCCACGGCCGCGCACGGCAACGACCAACCGAGTGACTACTCAAGTTTTGCTCGTAACGACTCGACTCAAGGCTCAAGGTTCGCTGCATCGTGTTCCGCCGCACCTCTCCGAACACGCCCAGCAAGGCGGACTTGACGGCTGCCCTCTTCTCGTCCTCCTTAACAGACGGCGACGCCCCCGTCGCTGCGGCGTCGGCAGCTGCCGACAAACAAAGCCTCCCCGGCAGCGAGTTTTTTGCCGTTGGTATTCTTTTCGACCTCACGGGTAATCTCAGCTCTGTCGGCACCGGGAGGACGACACGCAGGGAGGGGCAAGGTCTACGTATCAACGCAACACGGTTGCAACGGTCCCCAGGTTTTGGGAGCTGCCGTGACCGAGGAAAAGTTACCTAGTCTGGTCGCATCTCCGCCATCCATCCATCCCGAGCACAAAAAAACGAAAAACCAACAACGGGTCCGGTCCGCTCATCTCTCACCGTGTGATGCTGCGGACGTTCTCGCGGGAAGGGCAACGAACCCGGCGGTGGCGGGAGAGGCCGGCCCGTGTTTGCCGCCGCCGGCGGCTGCGGAAGCTACGGCGGGAGAGGAGCACCCCGCGGCGAGAAGCACCGCAAGAACGGTCATCTTTGTCGTGGGGGGGGGCGGCATCCTGGTTGTTGCTGTCGCCGTCAAACGCTTCTGTCGTCGCGCAAACAGAACGCGATTCGGGCTGGGACGGGTTGGATCCAACGGCGGGATGGAATGGAACTTCCATGCAAGGTTGGAGGCATGACAAAAACATACAAAGCCGTCCCCCCACCCGCATTTTTTCCACTACAGCAGCTGTATGCGGTGCAGGATAAACAAACGCAGACAAGTCTGCTCCAGGGTCCAAGCAGAAGGCAAGCACGGGCGGAGAAAACAACAGTGTTCCATACGGGGTAGCGTTTTCATGGAGAGGGTGGCGGTTGTTGCTCTTCGGATAGTTCCACTCAAAACGTCACAACCAAAAGCGGCCGAATGGAGAGGATCTGTTTCCTATGCTAGCGCCACCATTGGACATGGGGTCCAACTGGTGGTGAGGTTTAGAGGTTTATTCCACAGGCTGAGAGTTCAGGTACATCAAGTGTTCTTACTGTTGGAGACTGTGTCCATCCCACAGTCTCGACGCAGTTTTCCAAAGTTTGCAAGGGGATGATCGCACCACGTTGTGTTAAATTGGTCAAGCACCTTTGAGGCAGTTGCACAGTGCTTACAATTGTCTCTGGAAGTGAAAGCACCAGAAAATAAACTAAGTCATATGCAGCTGTCATCCGTACGCAAGGAAGTAAGCACAAGATGCCGAACACCCATAGCAGGATGCAGCGCACCCTTCATGCGACTCGCCGAATACCTCACGATGCTTCGCGCTTGGTGATGTGAGAGCAGAGAACCCGGCGTGCTCCGTCCCGGCTTTGTAGGAAATGCGAGGCCAATGGTCTAACGACTACGGCATGCACGACTATGAGTATGAGTATGAGTACACCCCCCCCCCCCAGCCCAAGACCACAGGTCGGTGCGCTGGATGCCTGTTTGCTTGGAAACGATGCAACTATTGACCCGGAGCGAAGACGCCTAGCCCTGCTCACAGAACCAAACATTTTCAAGTCAAGTCCTTCACGCCACACCAAAACATGCTACATTTAAGCTACCCCAAGTCTTTCTTTCTCTTGTTTTAACTACAGTAGGGTTCACTCATCGTGTCCACCAAGACTTGGGCCGAACGATAAAACCGTACCCCTATGTGTCCATGGGGGGCGGCAGTTTTTCTTCATCAGATTTGGCGACGGGAATGCTCTAGGATGAGCGAGAGAGCGTGCTATGCGTACAGTCCCGAAGAGAGAAGGCCGGGTAGTCCAAGGGCAGCTCCAGCTCCACGCGTGGCTTTGGAACTGCTGTCGAATCCAGAGCTGGGTTTCTTGCTATTCTGTATTTGCGCCAGTGGTTGGGTGATCTCTACATCTGTCATCTACAAAACGATGTTTATGTCATTGCGCATAAAAATTGCGTTGCGTTGGTCTTGAGGAGGACATACGATTGTCTACCGTAGTCAACAGCAGGATAAATCAGGAATTGTGTCGGGCAATAAAGTCAACCCGGGTGTTATTACGCGAAATAAGACTTGGGGGTAGTTTAAACGCAGCATGTTATGGTGTGGCGTGAAGGAACTGACTTGAGAGGGTTGAGTCAATTGAGCAGGGCTAGGCTTAATTCTGGTGTTCCTTTACGGTATGCAAAGTTCATGACCGAGGGTAGGATCTGATAATATTGGGGAGGGGGAGGTTTATGGTTGGAAAATTGGTGGAATTGTTGACTAATATTAGAGAGAGAGGGGGGGGAGGTGATGTGCGCCCTGCTGTTCATTGTTCGAATTTCCCTGCTGTTTTCCCTGCCCAAGAAGGTCAACAATGCACCCTTCGATCACGGGACACCTTCAAGACGCACGCACACCGGCACAGCTTTAAATATCTCCGCGACAGAGGCCACCGCTGGCTGATCCCCGACATTTGACAAAGTGTACGGTTTTTCCGAGGCCCACTGACAAGTGTAGTACTCTATATACACTAATGTAGTACACGTCTCACCACGAAAAATGGGGGGACTGTTGTCGCCATAATAATAGGACGAAGGCACACTCGAACCGGTTGTTCACTCAGACCTACACATCTCCCGCGTTTACGAATTGTTGGTTTTCTCTTCTTGATTAAGAGCTTGTTTCACCAGCAGAACAAGCATTGAGTCGATCGCCAATTATCGGGGGCAGTTGTCGCTGCAGCGGCCATGGTTGGTTACGGGTTGAAGAAAGGCTAAACGACCGTTACATGTACGACAATCACAGTCTGAAAGGACTGCTGAACCACAGTGTCAGTAGTAGATCGCCTTTGCGCCTCACGGGAGCAGCCGCAGCGCGTCATCGCCGCTTCTCTTTTTGCCCCACCGAATCTTCCTGGAATTTTCTTTATTTCTTGCTGAGGTATGATTAGTCCTACTGCTCCGCAAACCCCAGAGCTTCCTTCGTAAATCTCAGTAGACACTTACGAGAAGGGCAGACGAGTGGACGAGGCCCAACAAACAGGGGGGAAATGAGAAAGACCCCACGAATTTGAGTCCGCAATGACGATGGGGAGCGATACATATGCCGACCTCTGAGTCGACAAGTATATCGCGGTGTCCTCTACAGCAGTAATGCCAACTCACCATCCAAACACGGCATGTGTGCTCTGCGTCATTTCACATATCCAAAATTTAAAATTGGGTGATGTTGCCGCCGAAATCAAACTGCCATTTTGCTACCACTACCGCTGCGTGATCGAGAATGCACTTAGTTTCCCAACGTGGCAGTGTAATCAAAGTCTTTTTTTGCAAATCGCTCCTGAAGTGTGGTGTGCATGTGATGTTAACGCTTGGCCCTGCAACCTCGCGAACACGTCAGATTCAGTACTCTGTACATAGTCTACAGGTTGTGGGCGAGCTGCGGGATCCGGAAAGGAGACGATCGCAGGGCTTCCCCCTTCACTTCTTACCTTATGGCAGCAAGACTTGTCTCGTCTCTCTCTGTCTATCTCCTTGTCTGGACCACACTCGCTGTCCGTCTTGTGTGCTAGGCAGCGGAGGTGTGGCAGTAGCACAGTTGCTGGTTGGTGAGTTGGTGAGTGCCTCTGGTGGGGTTGCATATCATACGGCAGGTTTCAAGCGCATGCACGTCGCTTGATTCGCCTATTCTGCGGAGCCCCCTGACAGCGCTAACAAGGTTCTGTCTAACTGCTTATGCTACTGTCTTACAGTCAACGTTGCACCCAGCTGCAGGACACTGAGAGAGAAAGAGAGAGAGAGCGGCAACAGGAGGGCGGGAGTACTTTCTCCGTTTGTAGCACTGGGCAGTCCTTGCCTCTGGGTTTCAAGGGGGCGGCGGAAACACCAGGGCAGCACTGGAAGGAAAGCTGCCGAAGGTGCGGCACGATTTAATCCGCCTACAAAAGTAGTGGTGTCACATTTTATATCGTGCTTTCAGGAATTGTGCATCGCGTTGCTTTGAGCAACGCGTGCAGCTTGGCAGGAGTTGTTTGCTTCTACGGTGTTGTGCCAAATCATCCAAGGATAACGCCGTTTCCAGTACATGGCGTGTGGTGCCGCTGTGTCGGCATCTTGGCCCTCTCACGGGACTGTGAGCTTTATTTGTTCTCTCGCGGCCCCTCGTGCCTCTTTCTGTCTGTTGTTTTCGTGTCCCGGCACCACCAACCAGCGCGGCGAGATTGATCTAGAGTAATAAGAGAAGCGAGAGAGAGAGGCACGCCACGAAAGTTTTCCCAGGATCCGTCCTGCGCTGTTGGTGGAGATTAGCGGTGCACTCGAACACACGCCAAAATCCGTGCCGGTTTTCTGCGGGGTGGATGGAGTTGAGCCGGGCGTAGAGCGTAGAGCCGGAAATATGTCTCGGTTTCTCATCGATAAAATCAACGATGTTGGCCTCACACACGACGTTGCTTTTCGACATGGACGAGTGTTTGAGCAGCATTCAATCTATACCCCGCCAAGGCCACACACGCCCTGTCTGGCGTGTCTGTAGTCGATGGCATGTCAAGATTCTTCAACGAGATCGCCGTCAACCCCTGTGGTTGCTACAGAAGCCAACACTGCCATCCTTGCTCGGACTACATGATACTACTTTTGTAGTTTAAGCGGACACGTTTTTGTACTCCAGCGGGTACTTTTTCACCCCTCCCAATCTCGTCTCCTGCTCAGTCGCACGAGATCCTCAAGTCGTGCTCCTCACATCGGCCATGGCTTCGGGCAACCGCAGGGGAGGCGCTCATTGCAAGCCATAACCTCTATCGTAGAGCACTTCATCACCCTTGTTTTCGCTTTAAACCAAAGATAGATGTGCTTTCCCACCTTGTTTGGCGTCAAGCCGGTACAGTACTGCGGTACATGGCTGTTTATCCAGTTTTGTAGCTATGGCAAACGGGAGGGAAATTTTAAGCACAAGCACCTACCAGAGTCTCGGCACTAGGCCAATACTCGGCGACAAGGGGTTATCATGAGAACAATGAAGTCGTACCGTATCACATGGGATCACCGCTAGATACTGCGATCGGAGTCGGAGTACCGTATTAGTCGGAGAGATGGCACCGGTCGGGGAGATGACACCGGGGTGCGCAAAAAAATGTAAGAACGGCATGATCGAATTCGATTTCCGCACCGGGGTCGGTGAGATCGCACCCGGTGCGATCTCACCGATTTTGCACGTGGGGACGGTGTCAGCGCCACTCCTGTATGTACGTATGCATGGTCGCCGTTCACGCCGGATGCCAGTTTTCATTATTTTTTTGGTGTGGAAGTTGCCAACCGTACACTCAACCAAACACACAACGTACAAGCCGCACCTACCCACCTTACACAACACGAAACTATTGTACTGCTGCGTACGCACTAGTATCCGTCGAGGAAGCCCGAAACGAAAGCGGAAGACAGCCTGATACCGTATGTACCGGTGCCTCACATGGGAACCACATCATTTTTTGTCCTTGTCACGCCATAGCCAAACTCGCATCGAACACAAGACCACTCGCTGCATGGAAAGCTGTTGCGTACAGCCTACGCTGCCGACACTGGTGTGCTTCCAACCAGCAACAACGGTACCTACGTCTACTGATCATAGCATTGTCAACTAGCATGTGCAGAAGACCGTGTGTGTGCGTGGGTATGCCTACACTGGTATCAATACTAAGGTAACGGTCGGGGAGATGGCACCGGGATGCGTGCATACAACACCTGTGTGCATTTCATCAGGGATGCCACCGGTCGGCGAGATCGCACCGGGGTGCCTTGAAAAAACTAAACGTAATGATTTGATTGCATTTCCGCACCGGGGTCGTAGAGATGGCACCGGTCGTAGAGATGGCACCGGGGTGTGATAAAAAACCCGAGGAATAAACATTTAAGTAAACGATCGCACCCGATGCCATCTCTCCGATTATTACGGTACTAAAGTTGCCAAAAAAATGTTTGAAAATTATCCTATCGTCTTATTCCAGCGAGGGCGCCGTATGGCCTTTAGAACAGCCCAAAAGAAAAAATCGGGAAGAGGATACCGACCGGAAAATGAGATAATCGCAAAAATTGCGTTTGTTCCCTGTTGAATCGTTCGAATGTCCAGATTCCCACGGGGGCTGTTGGTAAACACAGCAGTACCCGTATGTGTGATTGTGTGATTGGGGCGGGGGCTAGGGTGGATGATCGAAACTCGGTGGTTTAGTCAAAACAGACGACGGCGCCCGAGATATTTGAGGACTGCTCGTTCAAGTGCACGTTTGGCTGCCATAGCATTCGGTAGGCCACAAGCGCTACTGCTCACTTCTCACCATGTCTCCTGTTTGAAGAGTTTCAATTTTTCTCCACGTGTTTGTCGTCATGTCTCAAACGGCCGGTGCCCCCCCCCCCCCCCCCCCCCCTGTATGCGTGGCCTTCCTTTAGATGGATCAAGGGGGTTCCGCAGGCGGACGCCAAGCAGCGGCAGCGGTAACCGTCAAGGTGTTAGTTCTGGGTGACCCTGCCACAGGAAAAACAAGCATCATCAAGAGGTCAGTTAGCGGAAGGTTCGAGAGTCTTCTGGTTTCTTCTCGTACGGGTCAAAGTCCGTGGGTCTCTTTTCGATACGGATTGTTTTCTCCGCTTGAGGGCAAGATGGATGTTCCTGGTAGGTTGTGAAAATTGAGGACATGGGGCGCCGGGTTTGCGGGCGCCCTATTGGTCACGCAACGTGGTGCCATTGGGGGAGGCAACATATCCCGTTGGAGCTACTGTAGAGTGCCACCGTCCTTGTTGAGTGAGAGAGTGGTGGTTGGTTTGTCTTCGGTATGATGCGGCGGACGAGACCTGGGTTCACGAAATCGATGCATTTTATTGTATTGCAGCCTGCAAGTTGAGTCTCCACAATAGGTGTGATGGCTTGCGACGGATACAGCGGCGTGCGTCACTGAATTAATGCGGTTTCCGTTGGCCACACGCGCAAAATTCACCCCATCGGTTCATTTACCGGTTCGACTAGAACCACTTTTGGACTTTTGGTCTGACAACCATCATTTCCTTCTTCCGCCGGTGGTACCGAACCCCATTCACACGCCTCTTGTTGCTACGGCTTCTGCCCGGCGAGACATGTGTCACGCTGCTTTCTTGATTGATTTTTTTGCCATGTTTCCGGCTTTGAACCGCAGATATGTGCACGACTTTTTTTCGGGTCACCACAAGACCACCGTAGGGGTGGACTTCGCTCTCAAGCAGCTCGTGGTAGGGGACACCACTGTCAAGCTGCAGCTCTGGGATATCGCGGGACAGGCGAGTTGTGGTTACTGCTTTTTTTTCTTCACCCGTGAACTCGAGAAGCTGCATGAGCCCGCTTCTTCGAAGACTCGCTTGGGGATACTTTCGCGGTTGGGCCCAGTTTCCTAGTGAGCGAAAGGTTCTCCTGATGTCATGCTTTTTTTTTTTTCTGTGCTCAGGATGGTAGCAGTTATTTACGGTTTCCAAGGATACCCGTTGTTGCTGCCTTTGATGGCGGAGGAGGGACGGGAGTGGGAAGGGTAGGACCCCGGAAAACCTGCAGCACCCGGGCATGGCTGCCTAAGGAAGCCGGCCGAACGAAACTGTAGTCTACGCGGGTCTTCTAAGTAAGCAAGCATATTGGATAGAGTATGGAATCGGCTAAGTAGGAGTTAGGGTTCGGGGTAGGGTCTGCGTACTCCTTGTCTGGTATTTTCCCTATTAAATCTACTTTTTTTCTTTTTTTCCGTAGGCAATCCGAACGAAAACGAGAGTAGGGACGTGACTGTGTGGGGGAAAACACTCGGATATGAAGGATTTTCGGGCGTTTCGAAACGTTTTTTGGCCTGTTTTTTCTGTGTCGCCGACAACCAAGAAAGACCAAGCTGAAGCCTCCGTGCCGTCGCCTTTCTGAACAAGTGCTCTTGCCACTCCCGTCCTTCCGTTGGTGTGTGCTCTGCAGGATAGATTCGGGTCGATCGCACGGGCTTACTACAAGGAGGCCCTGGGGGCCCTCTTGGTGTACGATATCGGGCGAAGCTCTAGCTTCAAGACGGTGCAGAGGTGGAAGGGGGAGATAGACGAGAAGGTGAGAAATGCTCAAGTCTCCCGTGCATGCGTGTCGTGGGCTGGGAAATGGGTGGTGTATGCTCTTGTCACCCCCCCCCCGTTGTGATGCGACCGTTGCCACGCATCCTTTTGGCGATGGAGTTCCATCTTTACTCCTTGCAGAGACTCGACCAACAACTCAACCGCTCGCCACGTACTTTTCACGGGGGAACGGTGGTCTAGACGAGCAGCGTTTAATGCTTTATGGGCAAGTTCCGGTTCCCAGACCGCGGTGGCTTGGTAGCAGTAGCATTGACGCACGACTAGCCTTTTGTCCGCATGCGTCGTTCTCAGGACGTGATGTTGGGTTTCTTGCATTAGGTTTCCGTCTGACAAATGAAATACGTTAGTCTTGTACTACTGTGGCGGGAAGATACACACCAGCACTTTCTACCGTGTTTGTGTGTTATTTTTTTTTTTTCAGGTTCGTCTTCCTGACGGCGGGCGGCTGCCCGTGGTGCTGCTGGCGAACAAGTGCGATCTCGATATTCCAATCGACAGGTGACACTCGCACACACCCTCTTTTTGCTTTGTCAACGATGCTTCTGTTTGGGTCTTGGAACCAAGTCCGTACAAGTGTTTTCCTCGTAGTGCAGCGTTTTCGTGCTTGATTTTACGTATTAGTTGGCTTGTCTGTCCTTAGTACGGTCATGACAAAGACATACGCGCAGACAGGAGCACAGACAATAGCAACAACACCTCTTACATCTCGTTTCATGGATGTTACCTTTGCTTTTGCAAGCGCCGCCTAGCGTGGTTCAAGTCGGTATTCCACCATGGGGAGCCAGCGAGAAATGTTGTCGTCCTTTTCGTGTATCGTCCCTTTATTGTTGTTTTTATCTTCTTTTTCACGATTTTCCGGGGGAAGCTAAAATGTAGGTGTAGGACAGGTATTGCTCTCCGGGCTTCAACCCGGCAGCCTTCCGCAGAGAGCGCAACGCAACGGGGGAGCAAGAAGGGGGAGGGTGTGTGCCATCCAAGCAACCCCTCGTTTCCCTTTGCGTACATTGCAGGACGTGTCCTGTTGTACGCATAGTTCTCGAAGTGCTTGCTGCTTAATCGTTATCTTTGTTGTTCCCATGGCGGCATTGCATGACGCGCCCTGTTGTAGCCCTCAACGTGCTTGCCGCTTAAGCGTTAGCTTTGTTGTTCCCGTGGCGCCTTTAGGGAAGCGCTCACGTGGTTTTGCGACCGACACGGGTTCGCGGGGTGGTTCGAGACCTCGGCCAAGCAAAACATCAACATCGACGAAGGGAGCCGGTTCTTGGTGGAAAAGGTCCTGGAAAGAATTCCAGCGTCCGGGCACCCATCTGGTCGCCTTGGAATGAAGGTGAGAGAATGACGCAGCTATGATGGCTTCCATTGTTTCTCACCCAACGCCTGGAGATAGTTTAGACGGGTGACACCGGGCATCGAAACACGGTGGGGTACGTCTAAGCGGCGTATGGATTAGAAATAGGGGGGGGGGGGGGGGGTCGCTCTGTACGTGTTTGCCTCGCTGCGCTTTGTTCGTCCATGCACGCAAATCCAATGTTCCTCACACTTGTTCGTTCTTTTCCTCCTCGCTCCTCTCCACTCCAGCCCCTCCCACCGCCCTGCGTTTCTTGCTCTGACCTCCATCCCCCCCCCCGCTACCCCCGTTCTTTCCGCGGGACCCCTTCACCTTGGTCTCGCGCCCGGCCGTGTCACGACTCGCCTTGCAATATGTCCCAAACGCTGGCGTCCTGACTGCTGGCGTTGATCTCCCCGCTGGGCGTGATGGCCACTTAATTGGAACAGTTGACGGGAGATGGGAACGGCGGGGGGGGCGACTCATCCTCTTGCTGCTGATGGATGAGTTTGTGTTGTGGTGTATCGGCTACATGGCGGGCGAAAACTACGCCGGTCCAAAAGACCTGCTGGTGACTGCCTACTTGTAACTAGCGGAAACCAGCGGTGCCGATATACCGTACCGCGGTCCCGAATAGCGCGGTTCCCGTAATATCGCGCATACACTTCCTTGGCACAACACCTAGCGAGCTACTAATTTAGTGACCGACCTCCCCCCACCAGTGCGGGTCCCGATATACCGCGGTGATTTTTGTCTCTCTGCCACTACACTGCGATTAGGCGTTTCTACGTTTTGGGTAAATCAGCCCGAGCGTTCTGAACCTCTTTGGTTCTACTGCGCTTGGCTTGGGGTAAGGCGGAGTTGTTTGTTGCTTTCATTTTATTTGGTGTTTGTTGTGTTTAGGAGCACGTTGCTCAACGGAGAGCTGCTTCAACTTCACCTTTGGCGTGTTTGCATTGCAGCCCCTTTTTGCGTTTTTGGGCGAATCGTTGTCGGGAGGGCTACACTACACATTTTTTTTTGCAGTATACCAATAGGAGGTTACTATTCGCGTACGGCTGCTGTGTGACGTGCTGTTGGCTTGCGGGGGCGCTTTTTTTGTTTGTTTCGGGACGTGTCTCCTGTCTCCTCCCAGCGATGGGGGTTTGTCCGTGGGTCAGGTCGCGAGTCTTGTTTCTTTTCTGTGTGTTCTGTACGGAGAACCCACACTGGAAGGCCTGGTGTTGATAGTCGTGAGCGAAAACGATGCCTTAACAAAAATTTCAAGCCTATTGTGGTGTCAAATGTGAGAAAGGCCCGCAATTCTGATGGCCGGATACCCCTCCAATGAAACATTTGAGACCAGAAGAAATACATGCTGTTGGTAGCCAACGAGGAGTGCTACAGAGAGGGAGAGCTGATATCCGACTCTGATTGGACGTGACCGCCACTGCTGCAGACTGGTAGTGTGTAGACTGGTTTTATTTTTTGTAACCGTGTAGTCTGACTCATACAGAAGATCATTTTGTGGAAGTAGTGGATGGACTGGATGAGGCAGATGAGGCCTCCTGCGCCCGGCAAGAAGAAGAGTGTGTCACCACGTGCTGGAAGGGAACTGTTCTCCTGGTTCGTCGTTCCCCAGCGCAGAATTCGCACCGGTAATTGGTGTAGGAATTGGACCCGATTTACCAAACCCTCAGCCGGGTGGTGGGAGTGGTCTCAGCAACCTTTCTGTGCATACTCCGTTGACCTCTTCGAAATCCGAAGCGATCCGTTGGTCCATCATGCAGCCAAGAATTTGGACTAGTTCGGTCTGATCGGTGTTTTACCTACCCTGTTGAATGCGACGCTGACTCCATACCGAGGATCATTGGATGTAAGTCTTGGAGGGGTCTCTTGTGCCGCCGGACTGTAGTGGTTTGCGGTCCCGCCCTCCTTCGCTGTATCTATCCGTTGGCTGTTGGCTCCTTCCAACCACCGTGGTGAATTTGTCTCTTACCCATTCCCCACGTCATGGTATACTTCTGTGGTTCCGCTCCATGCGGCAAGCTCTTGTGGGAACGCTAATGACAAGGGCATTTCGCTAGCGTCGGCGTAGCTCTGCTCGCGGTGCCGCTTGCTATGCATACCCTCCCGATCTCAGTACAACAATGTTCTCCTCGATGGGGACGTCGGGACATTCCGAACATTGCAACATTCCTTCCAAGGATGGAATATGGAGACCTGCCAAATCCTCGATATCTGCAACAGCTGCCACAGGAAATAAGAGCCCAGGAGTCTACTACTGTTGCTGTAGCCAGCACCAAACACACTCCAGCGGCGAGAGAGAGAGAGAGAGAGAGAGAGAGAGAGAGAGAGAGAGAGAGAAGATGCATGCGCAAATCCCTACAACTGAAAATAAATACACGCACAGAAAGACTACCAATTCGAGATATACAGATATACCCACAGTCGAACGGGATGTGGTGGAGTCTTTTCAGTATGTTCGTGCGCTGCCATTTCATTGGCCAACGCCAACAGTCCAAAAAATGACCTAGCCGTGTGGCTGCCTGTAGGCTATTGCCCCTAATACCCACTACCGTCTCTCGGCTGCCACGCGAGCCACCGTGCGGGTTGGCAGTTGGCAGTGCATCCTGCGGTCCTTCGATAGAGAGGCTGCAGAAACACCGTAGGGTGTGATCTGGATACCGAGGGGGAGCAAATGCGAGGGGGTGTTGCAGTTGCCGATGAGAAAACGGGGCCTGATGCGGTTCGGAATGCTGACCCTGTGTGTTCTTCCATCCATTGCGTACCACCTCACGCACCCTCTTTCACGCCAGCCGGTCAGGCTTCAAAGGTCACCGCCGTCGCTGCCCACGGGAGGAAAGTGCCCAGCTACCTGCAGATAGAGTCGGCTCCGTGAGCAACAGATTGGTAGCATGATACAGCACCCATTTTTGGGTGGCACCTCCTCGCATCGCCGCCGTTGAACGACACGACGCACGTGTGAGTACATATATATGTGCGATGACGATTGGAATTACATACACGCCTGGGGACGCGTTCCCTGTTCAACGGGTTTATGCATACCGGCATATCGATGCACAGAGGGACAGAGGGTGCACACAGCACACAGCAGCCTACCCCGCCGTTTTTGACTGGTTGGTTGCCTCTCTGCTCGAACCAAAACTAGCCTGGCTCGCTGGATCGACATTTCGAAGAACGACAAGAATGAGTACATAGCACAACCCCGACCACGGAACCAAGCCTACGAGGTTGGCAGAGAGCGGGAGCGTTGATACAGCAGTAGGCGCCCTCCTAACGCTTCTGAGCCTGCTGGCGAAAAAGCTACGACCTCCAACCCGATAAACGTCTAGCGTCGGTGAAAGGTTTTCACCAGCGCCCCACCCAGTGCCCACAGCCAGGGGTGTATCGGGGTCAAGGCCAAGGTTGGCCTAAGGAACGGCCGACCGTGCCACGCGGTCAGGCGAGGCAACGACAGACAAGCAAAGCACCAGGCGTGGACTCGGTGGGTCCGTGCTCGTTGCCCCTTCGTCAATCATGGTGAGTGATCGTGCACCTTGCACTGCCGGGAAGGTCAATACACGAATTCCAGCAAGCCCGTGATCGGAAACACGACTGCTGTTATTACGCACAGCAGTATCATCACCGTATCGGAAACAAACACGGCTGTTACACACAGCAGTATTATTATCCCGGTTCCTACAGCAGTATCCACCCGCGAGAGCAGTGACGCGAGCTGATATCGAGCAAGAAGTTATCGCAGTACATACATGTAGCTGTATGCATACAGCAGCAGTAGAAGCAAACGGGCAGTGCGACGCGGCGTTCTGCTTGTGGCACAGCAGTACAACGAAACATGGAAGAATTAGAATTGCTACCTTGGCAATTCGATTGCCAAAGATAGGACCAGTTCAGTTGTCGTGGCAGAAGAAACCAGCACGAGCAAGCTCATTTCCCGCCCAATGCCATTCCTGCTACCGACGTCTCCAGACATTTTTTTCAAGGAACAACTTTTTTAGTTCTCTTTTTTATTATTATTCTCCACATGTAAAGTTCTGGCGTTGCTCGCCCCAACTCTCATGCTCAGGGTAGGAAGGGAGACACACGCTGCATGGGTATTTGCGAATATGGGTTTGCGATGACAACCATTCAAATGAGCTCGTTGTCGGATGTTGTCTAATATTAATATTATAAAGTCGAGTCTTGTGATGGGACATTTTCCGCCCATCGCTTCCACTCTACGTGAATGTGGTGAATGTGAATGACTGGCAGGTCAACACAACGGCGAAATTTAGCCGTTGTGTCCGTAGTCGGTGGAGAACATGCATGAGCACCAAAGTTTGTATCGTATCTGTGGGACAGCTTTCACTGAAAGCCTATCGTCTGGACTGGAGCGTAGAGACATCGAGCCTCTCGTATATACATGCGATATCAACATTCTTGGCTCGAGCGCTTTCTGCGTGGGGAAATGCTGATATCCGTGGTTTGAGTACAGTAAGGCGGAAATTGACGAGTACCTATCATCTTTGCACGAAGTCCGCTAGCTCCCTTATTCCGCACATCACCTTGCGCACACGGAACGCACACATTCGCCACGAGCATAAGGTCAACCACTCCCACGACCATTCCCAATTACCCACCCATCCGGTAGCCTCTCGCTCACTCTCCTTTCCCTATTTCGTCTATAGTTGGTCGACGTCGGCCCTCACCGTCAACTTCTTTCTGTGTCCTTGTCTCTGGCTTCCCGTTGTGTATGCTCGTGGCCTCGATACGCCCGAGAAACGGCCCAGAAGTACTTCACATCATTTTTTTTTTATATTTCTCTTACGCGGAACCATTCTAAATGCTAAAAATTTTTGTCGACGCAGGAGGAACCGCGAGTGATCGTCGCATCGCTAACGACCTCGGACGCAGTCGGGGCCGGTTCCACAAGCGACGCGGGGTACTTCACCCCACCACCTTCCGTCGGCCAGGGCACGACAAGAAAAAAATCGCCAGCATCTCGCGGCTCTCCATCTTACGCCGACCACGATGGGAGCAGTAGCGATGATGGCAGCGGCGGCAGCAGCATCAGAACACGAAGAAGTCGGCGGGGACCAACTCTGGCACCAGCCTTGGACTCGAGAGCCGACAGAGACCGCTCGCAGTCGGCTGAGGCTGGTGAAACACCGGAGGAGGCTGGCACCAAGCGCGGAGGCGGCCGTTGGAAATGGACCAGCACCGCCGCATCGCGTGCCCCTGGAAAGTTCTCTCGTGCCAATGGCGGCGGAGGCTGTGATGGCGAAGCGATCCCGTCACCTCTTTCGAAACACATGCAACAGCCGGCCGCAGTAGCAGAGCCAGAAACATTGACTCAGGACAGCGGCAAAAGTAACAGAAGAACCCCCGACGGCCCCAATAGCACGGGCAGTGGCGAGGGCAGCACCGCGGCGTTAGATTCTATCCTAGGGGGGCCAGCGGCAAGGACAACGGCGGTGGCATCTTCAACATCCCCGACGAAAGTGACGCCTTGGAGCTGGAAGATGCTCGCAACGAGGACTTCGACCGCCTCCACGAGTGCGGCGTCCATAACTTCCGCCGCGCCGGGACCGTCCTCCTCGGACGCGACCGCAGCCGGTAGCAGCGGCGGCGGTGACGGAAGCAGTGGCCGGACAGGCCGAGCTACCGCACCAAAGGAACAAGAATCGCGGCAGTCGTTTGTTCAACCGCCGGCAGCGGCAACTACGACCGCTGGGAGGGGGGCGCGGCCCTCTTCCGTAAAACAGACCGCGGCGGCGGCGGCAGCAGCAGCGGCAGCAGGAGCAGGCAGAACCGGCGTGCACGTGGGCTATCAGAAGATGAGGATTTCGTCGGGGGGTGGGAACAGGGCCATCGCCTGTGCCGCCGAGGCTGATGCTGACGAGGCGCTCTCCCGTCCCCCCCCCGCTCCCGGCACGTCGACCCCGCGGTACCGGGGAACCGTCCCCAACCCTGCCGTGGGCGGCACGTGCGAGAGATCTAAGCGTGGTGAATACGGACCGCGAAGCCCGATGCCCCCCCCCTCCCCGGGCGGTAGCAGCGACGGGGTTGCGGCGCCGCCACTCTCCGAAGAGGGAGGGGTCACGCCTAGGCAACCGCAGGCGACAGCGACGACGCCTTCGGGGAATGGTGCCAACGGCGCCAACGGCGTGGTCGACGTGCACCTCGCTGAAGGAGAATTGGAGGCTGGCGGCTGGAAGCACCTGGACTCTGCCGGTGGGGGGTCTTTCGAAATCGACTCCCGTCACAGCAGCAGCAGCAGCACCACCACCACCACCCCAAACATCGCCACCGAAAAAAACGTGACAAGGGCGGGAGAAGAAAAACCAGAGGAGCAGAGCGGCCGAACGAGGGACGGCTTCGACTCCGGTTTCGAAGCCACCGCGGTGGCCAGGAAGAGCGACGGCGGCATGACGGAGCGGGAGATCATCGCCGGCGCAGAAGTAGCCGTGGCATCGGCCAAGAAGGAGGCCGCCGGTACGGTAGATCGGGCGACGGCACCGGGCACCCCCCCTAAGTTTCCCGTTGATACGGCGGAGCTCTTGTCCGACGCAGCGGCGACGGCCCCCGGGACAAAAGGCAAGGCGGGTACTAGAGGGGTCGACAGGACGGGGAAGGTTCAACTTGAGGGGACTGTGGCTGTGACGGGGGGGGGTACACGGTGCCAATGCGTCGAGAAGGAGAGCCTTCGGGTCTCGGGGGAGGACGGAGGGTCGGTCTCACGGACTGTGAGTATTGTGGCTTCAAGCAGGAGAGCCTAGACATTAGAAACTATACTTTGGAGACACGAACTTCGCCGTTGTCGTGCCCGCGATTTTTTTACGTTGACCGAAGAACGCACACCTTGAACCAGACAACTAGTCTCAAATCGGATGAGGACGGCCGATATAGAACGTGACAAGGTACAAGTGATGTGACCGATTCCCATGTCGCGACAGAAATGCCGACCCCTAACTTACCTGCTGGCATTAACAGGCGCTCGATTCAGGACGAGTTTGGAGAAGCCGCCACTTATTGTGCAGTCCAAGATTTGTTTGTTCCACAACCTTGAGAAAACACGACCAAAACGAAGCGTAAAATCGATACAAAAGTCGTCACGGTCACGGTCACGAATACAACCACCGCCAGCTCTCTTGGCGGAATGATACAACAACCCCTACACATTGCCGTGTGTAGGCGCGGGCAACCAAACGTAACCAACATCCGTGCACGTTGCTCGACACTCACCCACCCTCACCGCCATCCTCCTGCACACCACCAACCCACCGTGGACCCACCCGGTTTTCATGAGCTGTGTACCTTTTTCGATCCGTCCAAACCTACCCGTTTGCATCAGGTACGGGACGACAACTGGTGGAAGCAGAACGCGGCCAAAGCCCTCGCCATCTCCGCCGAAAGGAAGAATACCCCGGGGAGAAGCCGCAGCCGAAACGGCACCCCCGCGAGGAGCCGCAGCCGCACCGGCACCCCCACCCACAGCCGAAGCGCGTCCACGAGGAGGGGCGGCGTGGCGCCCCGCGACGGGAGGGGCACGCCTTCGTCTCGCAGCGGCAGTGTCGTTGGAAGGGCCAAGGGCCAGAACGGTGGTGGTGGTGGCTCGCGTTCCCGCGAGGATGCGGGGGGTTGGCCCACCGAGGACGGGGCTGAAGGCGGCGTGGCTGGTGTCGGCGAGTCTCGGTGTTCTGCTTGGGCTTGGTATTTGGGAGAACTTGTTTGCGGTGGCCTGCTGTGTTGACCGCACAAGTGTTAAGGCTTTGGCTGTGGCTTGTGTTGCTGTTGCATGTCGTCCCTGCCATTGCTCGTGACTGGCGTTTTAGCCTATGTTTTTTGTTAGATCTTGAAAGAGCATCTCCGCGTCCATAGGCTTATCCTGCCGACGAGGAGAGAAATCCCGCGGCCCCATTCTCTTTTTCGCTTGCCAGAACGACCCACGCTACACGCCATTTCGACCTCATGAAGCCCCCAACCACAAACGAAAAAATCAAGGTGACTCAAGAGAATCAGGCTGGCCGTTTGTCCCTCCCTGTCGTTTTTGCTGGATCTCCGTTGGTTGCTGGATCTCCGTTGGTTGAGAGAGCGGGCAGGCCACTCCTTTCAGCGGTTGTGGACATGCGTTCTATTCCGCAGCTTAGTTATTCGGTTTAAGTTCCACGTGATCCAAAATTTCCGAATGTTCTTCCCAAAGCTACTTCCGAAGCAAACCGAAGCCTGATCCCAACCCGAACGTTGCTCCGTTCGTGGGTCTAACCTAAACCTTACCGGTAACCCCGACGTTCTACGCGAAAGCAGGAGCAGACGGAACCGCAAGCATCAGCGTGCAGGGCGTGATGATCCCGATGGACGGCATTGCCTCAACCGAAGTGTCGCCGACGTTTTCGACGATCTCCAGCCGAGAGCAGGCGGAGCGGGATAGGGAACGCCTCGCCGCGATGGACGGTAAAAGTGTTCGTTCAAGCCTTGACGTTCCCAACTCAACAACAAACCTAGCAATAGCAATAGCACTGACAAGGACACTGCACCGCCATGCGGTCTTCATGGAAGGGCCTCGAGCTCTGCGCCTATCAGTAGTGGTTAACGTTAACTCAAACGAATAGGTGTAGCCAGAGCTGGACTCTCAGTGTCTACCCCTGCGCCTTGTCGTCTCAACAACGACCGTCGCAACCTCAGGTCGAACAATCTTAACATGTTTTTCATTCGTACTACTCCAATTAGGCACTCCTCTAATGCGATGTATCACCGACGCACTCCTTCTTCACTCTTCACGCATTGTTTTCAACTCCTGTCGATGACGTACAGACGTTTCCAAAATGCGCCCGTTGTTCTCTCAACCCGATAGCGACACCTCTATACTACCGTAATTGTCGGAGTGATAGCACTTCCGTGTTAGCGTTTTTTTCGGGCGTGTTTCTCCACAACCAGGGGGGCACCACTGCCAAAGAGAGTAGTTTTGGGAAGGAAAGTCTCGTCGAGGGCTTTCCTCGCACCCTCCTAGTTGGGGAGAAATACTCTACTATAAAAATCACTTTTACACGGGGGTGCCAATCTCTCCGACTCTTACGGTATGTAAACATGCCACAGTCGTGGCTCCGACAAAAGAGGGTAGCTTATAAACGGGGGCTCCGATATTAGAGGGTCGGAATCGGCTGTCACGGACTCGACCCTCTGAGTAATATCTTATTTCGGTATAAGAGGGGGCTCTGACATAAGAGGGTCGAGGGCCTTTGTCACAACACCCTCTACTAGCCACGACTGCAGCATGCTCCAATCGTCAACCCTTCCGTATTGGCGGCAAAAAGAGCCAACCCTCACCCTTGACCCCCAACCCCGCCCCCGGCAGGTGGCGGTGACGGTGGATACCGGCGCTCCTCCTGGGGAGTGGCTCTGCCCCTCAGCGGCACCGACGACACACCTAGGGAGCACGGCGGGGCCCACGGTGCAAGGGAGAGCGGGACGGGGCGCCGCAGCCGGGAGAGCTCGGGTTGGGGGTTAAACTCTGATGATGGTGGGGACTGGGAGCAGCAGCGCAGATGGAGGTAGGCAACCGTGCCAATGGTTTTCGTCCGTCGATTTACCGGCGAGGCGAAATACGTGGGTCGATTGCAGCACCGCAATACAGTGAAGGAGCTCGTGGCTTGATCCTCGGGTAACGCTTGCGGTGGCCGTGATTGGCGTGACGTCTTCGTATCCGTAGATCGCCTTGCTTGCAACAGCGACTGGACTCTTGGAAATGTGCGAAGCAAAGGTACAAGAGTAGCAGTTGGCTTGGGGTTTATGTTTAGATTGCCCAGTTGAACTTCCCATCGCCACATTTCCTTGTGTTCCTTCCGCTTTAGGTCATCGCGTGCTTCTTCCGCAAGCGGTGTTTGGTCGGATGACGGCGTTCACGACTACGATCATGATGATACCGGTCGCAGCAACGCCAGCACGTCCATGTACTCCGACGAAGAGGAGGACGACGGTGAGGGTCTGCACGTCTGCACTTGAACTTAGCAATCCATGCAGTAATTCCCGGAACGGGCCGACGTACTGACGGTCTATATCTTGTTTGTGCGATAGATACCTCGAGATTCCTTGTGCTACGACCAATGGAACGAGTTGCACACAGCCTCTAGACTAGAGGGTTAGGCTCTTTGTGTACCACGCCGAAACCAACACATGTTCCGTATGGCCTGTCTTTTTGCCATGCCGGTGAAACTGCTGCCATAAAAGACATGTCGCAGACCAGGAGCATGGCGACGACGACTAATCCCTGTATGCTGCTCGGGGAACCGTAGAAATATACTTTGGTCACCGTACAACGCTACGTATATATTCCAATTGATATACTCATTGCTAAACCTACCCCGGACTATTTTCTGTGGGAGAGATGGGTTTGTTGTGATCTTTGCAAGAAAAGAAAACAAAAACGACGTGTGGCATCAACATGAGTATATGTGAATTGGTCGATTCCGCAGATCTGCCGTCCTCTCGGTCTTCCATATCCACCGGATACGAGTCCTCGGCGATGGGGAAAGGCAGCGAACCAAGGCAACCAGGCACCCCAGCCGGGGAGGATCAAGGTCAGCACGGCGAGGATGGCCTTCTGTCGTCGAAAAGCCTCAGCTCTCCGCCTCATGGTAACCGTCTTGGTCTCCTTGTTTTTACTGGTTAATCTTTGTTAATCTTGGTTAATCTTGGTTAATCTTTGTTAATCTTGGTTAATCTTTGTTAATCTTGGTTAATCTTGGTTAATCTTTGTTAATCTTTGTTAATCTTTGTTAATCTTTGTGCTGGGGGGCGACGCGTCCGGTGCCGGTATTGGTCTTGGAGAGGATATATCCGGGATTTGTTGGTGAAGATGCTGAGTAGGGATGTACGTTCCGCATGCGTGGCAGACCGATAAACGCTGCCGCCCAGAACGACGATTTTCAGCGCATCAGTGACGATTTCTGGCGGCCGGGGTGATGGAAACGATACTTTGCCACACGGGCGTGTAACGGTTGTGACTCCCGCAGATGACGATGTTGGCGGACACGATCGTGGTTCCGGCAAATATGCTCCTCCGTCGCCTGCTTGGCCGTTGCAGCACCCGCCAGTCGGGCAAACGCCGGTGGGTCACTTGGTTTCCTTCCGAATCTACAAGCTTGGCTATGTAGTGGCATTCTTCATGCCGAGGTTACGGATGTTGGTTGTAACAGGGAGGTACATAATGTGATAACCTTTGCCATAGATGCTCTCTTGCCTTGGCGGTAACTAGTCCGGTACCTGTGAGATCGTATCCACCGGTACGGTTCAACTAGTGCATGGAGCTGTTTTGCACACGCCCGGCGTGAATCCAGCGGGACGTGTTGTGGCGGGGTCCCCAGATCGGTAACCCCCCCGCGTGAGTGTTGTACACTTGTAGAGCATTTGCCGTTATCGTCCATGCAGTGTCACGAACGCAACATCACGCTAGGTTTGGTCGCGGACGGAAAAACGAGAAGGCGCCATTGCCGGCAGGGGAGCCACGAGCGCGTGTGCCTTGTGCTTAGCGGTGATTTCGCTTTCACAAATGATGTTGTGCTTGTTTAGGTTTTTGTCTGTTTCGTCTCGTACTTGCAACTGTTGTGCCATCGTTGCCTCAAGAAACGTTCATGGGATTGTGCGACCGAATACATCGAGAGCCGGCAGTTTTTTCAGCCAGACGTCGCTTTATCTGTGCTGCAGGATGCGGTGTTGAGCGGGCTCGAAGTATCGGTGATCAAGAAAAAAGCCTACTACGAGATCCAGGCCGCCGCCGAAGCAGTCGAGAGCAGGTAATCTGTTGTTTTCGCTGTTGTTGTTGGTGATCGTGGTGGTGGTGTTGCAGATGTTGTTTTTGTTGCTTTTCTTGTTGGTGTGTCGCGATTTCGTCAGAGCACGACAGTCGCTCTTCCCAGCAGTTGGGCGAACACCTCGCCGGCATTCGCTATGAAAATGAGCCCCTTTTCCCGAACACACAGGTCGTTGACTTTAAGCACAGCAAGCGAAGACTGAACTCGCGAGGTGACTGAACTCGCGAGGTGAGCTCTACAGTGTCTCGCGCTCTGTTCCCCCACCAGGCAAAATCTTTCGAAACGGAAACACCTATGCCAGCCGTTGTCAACCCCTCAACAATTCTCTGGAAACATGAAAAGGCGCAAAATATCCAGAGCATGTATGTATATACAACAGCCACGAAACTCCCAAATACCCCCCCACCGCGAGTGACCGCCCCGTCCCCCCCTCCACTTCTCACAACTTGGCCTGGCCGCTCCATGGCGCCGGCGGCGATGCTCATTGGCGATCGTTAACACCCAGCACGCCGTCAACCGGAAGCGACGCGTCGAGCCGGCAGACGAACAACCTGCCGAGCGCGCGCATGGGCCGCATGCCGTCGGAGACTCGCGCTCTCCTCAGCAGGTGAGGAGTCAAGGGTTTATGTTTCGCCATTGTTGCTCGTCGTCGGTGCCTTGGGGCGCAGGGGGTCGGGCAGCGAGCTGTACCTGTGGTACCCCCCCCCGCAAGCGCGACATGCGTGCCCTTTACTCAGACGCTCTTGTCTTCCTCGCCTGGCTGGGGTCAGGCTTCCACCCGAAAGATGATGCACGGTCTCTGCATCTGCTCTTCGTAGCCGCTCCCTCGTCTTGCACCGAGCAACGTAAACGTGAGCATTTTCCGTGCCTGGCCCGCTCCATGTTTCTTGTCTGTCCCCACGCACGCCCAAAACAAGCAGGGGGGGCTCTCTGCCAGAATTCTTTCCTCTCGATGCCCCCTCTGGTTCAAGAGGAGGCCGAGCGGGAGGAGGGAAGGGAGGACATTTCTGCCGTGCAGATGCGTCGGGGCCTGCTTCCGGCGCTGCTGCTGCTGCTGCTGCTGCTGCTGCTGCTGCTGCTGCTGCTGCTGCTGCTGCGGTAAGACAAGGGGTGAAGGCGGCAGAGGGAAGAAGAACGAACGCCAACCAGATTGTTCCTACAAGTTTTCATTTTTGCGAAAGCATTACGTAGGGTTGAGTTGTTGTTGCGACTTTATTGCAATTTTCCTCTGCCCAGCCGAGGTGGAAGGAAGTCCGTCGCCTCCGTGTCCTGAATGTAGTCCTCTCCCCCCGCGGTCCGAATACCGGTGCGTTTCAGGTCAAGTCGACTCCGTCGATGCCCCCAAGGATCCAGACGTCGGTTAGCGAGGGCACAATCCTCCAATACAAGGCGGGAGGCTACGGGTCAAAGCCGCAGCATGCCTCCGTCGAGGAGGCTGTTGCGATGGTGTTTGCTTGGTCTCTGTTGTCACGCGACGGCGGCCGCACCACCACCGCCCAGAGGCAGCAGGCGGGAGCGACGCCGGACACGAGGCATGGGGGGCGAGGTTGGCGCAGGGGGGACAGCCAGTACTTCTTTTCTTCTCGAGGGTCGTCAGCTCTGGGGATGTCGCCGGCAGGTAAACGTGACGAGAACCAAGTTGGGCCGAAGCAACACGCTGCCCCGAAGCAACGCTTCGGTCAGTTTCTCCGCAAGCGCGACGCCCGTCAAAAGTTGTCGCGCCTCGTTTCTCCGTCGAGGCGTTCTTCCAACGGTCCGAATGGGGAAGGCGTTGAGATCAGTACTGCTGCCACAAAAGCGTTGGCGACTACAGTACTGTGCCGAAAGCAAGCAAGAGTACCGCTCATCATGGCTGCCTTATCCGAAAATCAAATCTCTGCAAAATATTACGTAGTATCCGAGCCTTCGGCGCGGACAGCGTGCTTGGACCCAGCACGGCACCTCCAACCAAAACCTCTGACACGCAGGAAACACATCTTATCCACGATGGTACCCCCTTCATCCTACAACCTCCCCCCCCGAACTGCAACAGAGGATCTACAGCGGTCCAACAAGAAATTGTCGGTTGCCTGTGCCGAGAGAGAAGAACAGAATCTAAGGAAAGAAACCAAGGATACGGAGGGTCTAGAAGTGTACGGAATGTTGAAGAACGTAATAGGGTTCAAGGATTACCTACATGGACCAATGGACGCAGGGACAAAGCTTAAGGTCAAATTCAGGACCGGGGACATAGGCCTTCGAGAACGTCGACGAAGACATAGGACGGTAGACGACGAAGACGACAAGTTCAGATGTGATTGCGGCTCCGAGTGCGAAGACGGGGTTCATGTAGTCGCGGAATGTCAGTTGTACGAAAAGGAGCGGGAAGTGTACATGACTGAGCTGGGAAAAATAGAAGGGGGGTACAGGGAGATGTTTGAGGCATGGAAAAGAGAGAAGACGGTAGCTGTACTGGGGAGTAGGAAGTGGTTTGAAAAGGCGGGAAGGGATATCGTTAGGATAGACGGACTAGGGAAGATATTTTTGAGCCACCTTTGTCAAAGTAGGAAGGAACGATTGGCTATCGGTGACCGGTCCTGTGGGAACAATGCTCCGTCCTGTCGAGGACGCGTGGTCAATGGTCTAACCGCTAAGGCATGCCAAACACAAGAGTACCCCCCCCCCCTGAATTTCAAATACCGTCGGGTGTGGCTTCCAGGCATGATCGAGCATCACTACGAGAGACACCGGAACCCCAGCCCGGCTGAGATGCGCCGCCACGACAGCAACGCTAGCGGCTCTAGGAGAAGCACAAGAAGAAGGGCGGCAGCACGACAAGACCACAAGCAGCGTCGAGACAGAAGCGCGACCAGCAGTGGGCGGCGGAGTGCAAGTGCTCTGGATCGGAGGGTACGGCAAGCGCTCTGGACACCACCGACGCCCCAAGAACGCCGGCAGCAGCAGCAGCGGGAGCAACGGCGGCGGCGCCAGGCCAGCAGGCGCGAGGTTGCTTCCAGCGGGCAGCAGAACCGAGCCCCTCCCGCTATCCCCCCCCTACCGAAGGTGCTGTTCCGTCCACCTACCGCCGCCACAGCCACTGGACAACAACAACGACGCCGGCCACAAAAACAGGACCAGCAACAACGGCAGGAACGGCAAGGGTCGGCTCCGAGGAACATCGCTTTCGTTGTCGCCCCCGGCGGAGAAGAAGACGGCCACGTCGGTAACGGCGGCCGAGTCAGCAGAGGGAAGTCGTGGTCGTTTGCAGGGACTCCAACGAGCACGGTGTTCTCACCTTCTTCTGCGGTGGCCAACCCCTTAATCTCAACGAGGTGATCTTGTTGTAACATAGTCTATGTTCGTTTTGTTGTTGCCTCCCGTGACATCGTTGCTGATAGTTGCGTGCAGCCACATTGTCCGACCATCAAGCAGGACGGACAGCTCAGCAGTTGTTTCATCGTGTGGTACGATGACCGACTTGAATTTCTACGGTCCCCGAGCGGCATGTGGCGATGTCCCCCCTACTGAATTCTTCATTTCCTGAAGTACACTTTGGAAAAGGCGCATCTTTAAACGGGATCGGTCACAACCATACCCTTACATGTAGCCACCCTGTCTTATCCCGAATGCCGACCTTCTCAGGTACACCCAGCGTTCTGCCTATTCGTTTTATAGCAACAGCAACAGCCCGACCAGCACCAGCAGCGCCGACGACCGAGAAGAAACAAAAACTGCCGACGCGAAAGCCGCACCCGCGAGCACCTCTGGCGGTGGCGACGGCGGTGGCCGCAGTGATAGCGACAGCGGTGGCCGCGGTGGAGATGTAGGGAAAATGACTCACCCTCTGCCCCGTACCACAAGTGTAACGCACAAGACCGACGGCGAAGGAGGTCGAAGGTTGGACGCAGACGACGGTGCCCGAGGCAGGGTCACCACCTCCGCCGCCCATGGCGCCCAGAAACAAGGACACGCCGGCACCGATCGGCGCACCGCCCGCGTCACCGTTACTGCTAGAGCTACGGGAGGGCTTGCCTCGGACGTGGGGGGCAGCCGTAGAAGGGCCGGCAGCGGCCGCCGCCCGATCTACCGCACCATGAGCCTGCGCGGGCGGTCTATCTTCTCCGTGGGCGGGGGGAAAGCTGGCACGGCGGAGCGCCGGGCTGTCTCCATGTCTTCCTTCCGCAGCAGGGGAGAGTCGCTGCGCGAAGACGGCGAGTACTACCGCTCCTACTCCTGGCGCGCGGGAGGGCGAGGCGTGGCGAGCCGCGTGTGCTCGGTGCTGTCCGCGAGGTGGCTCTTCCCCAGGAACTGGAACAAGAAGGACTGGGGGGCGAAAAAGAGGAAAGGTCGGACCAGAGGGCGGGACGGCAGCAGCAACGTATCCCGACCGAGCACCTACACCAGCGGAGAAGTGGTCGGCGTCGTCGACGGCGGAGAATTCTCCAGCAACGAGGACGGCAGCGATGGCGAGGACGACGACGACGACGACGGCGACGACGTTGTCGATGTCACGAGTTCGATGGATATCCTCGTCGGCGGAGCACCAGGACGGGCCGAGAAAACGCGCGCACTAGGCGGAAGTGGTGGTGGCCCTCGTGATGAAGGTACCAGCCGTCCTGCCGCCGGCGAGGGAGGGAGTGCGACAGCGGGCAGCGGCAGCGTCGGACCGGGGACAACGGCGGCCAGTGGAAGGAAGCGGATTAGTTTCCCTCGCTCCGCTTTCCTGGGATTCAGCCGCAGCGCTCAGAGGTTAGAAAAGCTAGACGAGTCAGAAAATCCGGGAATGCCAGGGAATATCCCCGGGATAGGTACCAAGGGATTTCGGGAGGTGTGCGCGTCATTCACGATAGGTCGTCCACGTGGTCTTTTGCGGTGATTCCATAGCTTCACGATAGTCGAGCCTCTACCCCGATCCGGGACTTCGTCCTGCCGGCCAAACATTCCACCAACAGCACCAACGCGGCATGATTGTAGTGCCACTGTGTCTGTCCTCAAGCAGCTTCTTTCACTCCGACCTCTGATGCCATTTTCTGAGATTCGCATGTAGGCAGCAGGCCACGCTCTGCTCTTAGGTGGTACCCACGAAATGGGCAGCTAATCTTATCGACAAACAACCAATGATCTCACCCGCTCGTTGGTTTGCCTGGCCGCCCGCTCCCGTGCATCACTCACTCACCCAGATCGATGAGCAGCTACTCATTTGTTCAGCACGACCCGGCTAGCCGGGCTGGTGGAGTTGGAGGCGGAGATGGCGACGGTGCTGGGGGCGTTCGTGCCTCCCAGTCGACACCTGCGGCGGAGGCAGGCCCGGGACTTGCCGTTGATGCGGGCAGGGTGAGCGGAGGCATACGTTCGAATCCTACCACCGTTATTTTTTCAGTTCCACCGATGATTGTGGCCGAAAACCTCTGCTTCGGGGAATACACGTGGGTTGGGTCTTTTCATTTGCCGTTGATGATCCCACGACGGAGGGATACGGGCAACGCGTACTCCGAGAAACAACCCTTGAGGAAACATCAGCCTATCAACTTCAAGAAAAACAAACAGGCAGCAGGGAGCATACCGTCGTCATTGCTACAAGTAGTTTCGCAAGGTGATTTGCATATCATCCGGGTTGAGTGTCAGGAATTTTGAACGTTGTGTACGTTTCTCCCTCCTTGGCGTTCTGAAATCAACGTAATGCCATTGCCTGATGCCCACTCCGGTTCGTGCTAGATCTAAATAGAAACCAAACAACGTTGCAAACACGACACATCGGCAAGGGCATGGATCGTGTGTCGCCGACATCACGCTAGTGGCAGTATTTGCCAGGGGAAGGTTCGAAATTCAGCACCTACTGTTCTCATCGTAGTGTACGTGCAGCCCCACCGAGAAAGCAAATTTGCCTATTATCGATCAACTCCACACTCATGGTGATCCCGTTCACCTTTCTCGTACGAGCTCTTCCGTGGCAATGGGGTCTTGAGGGCGCATCTCTAGAGTTCGCTCTCTTCGAACGCGTCTACTTTGTTTGGAGACTTACTTAGTATTGGGGCATGAGTGCAACGACTTCGTTGTGCATTGCGCAGCACTGGCAACCGCACCGCTCTCCGCCTCCTGCCCCCACGTATGGCCATCCATGTGAGCATTTCGACCAGCCCTCGTGGTTGTGGCAGCAATCCCCCCGGAGCGCGTACGAGGGGTGGGAAGCGTTGATCGTCCATTCCCCGTGCGAGGAACAACCGCCCGGCAACAAACGAACCACACGTTAATGAAACCTCACAGACCCTCTAAAGCCGCCAAGTATTTCTTCGAAGAGACACTTGGTGTAAAACGATCCTGCAGACCCGAGAGTCTCAATCCAAGACCTGGAGGTTACCCTTCAACAGACCATGGGTGCGTTATACAGGCGTTTTCCCTTTCACTATGTAGTTCCTGCTGCTGCAACGCCAAGTTGCGTCAACGAGATCCCGTCCCCGTCTCTCACGACCCCGGTACATTCTCTGGTCGGACCTCTCCGACCAGGGGACACTACCGGCGACATCTGTTGACTTCGCCGGCGGCGGCGAGGAAAAGGCGAACGGCAGCCCCAAGGATAATCGAGCAGCACCACGTGACAACGGTGGCGACGGTGACGTGCAATACGTCAACTTCAACGGCCATGGCGGCCGGGCCGGCGGCGTTGTTGCCCTCAGGAGGGGGGACGGCGTCGCTGCAGTGGAGATAGAGGGCGACAGATCGGTGTCCACGACTGGGTAAGACCTACCGGCCATGTACATACCTAGGAAAACATTGCGAGAAAATTTCCACAGTCTCGGTCTGATCATGTGGCCTGTGACGCCAACGTGAATCTGCCATGGCATGGTCGAGACGAGGGGCAGCGGTCGCGGTGAAAGCGGTGCGCCGTCTGAGGCAGGCCGACAGCAAGCATCTTTTGAATCGTATGTTTTTCGTTCGCCGCCTTTGCAAGAGGCTCGTTGCTCGATTGCATCATTTGCTTGCCGTGTACAAGGTTGTGGGCGGAAAAGTTCATGCTCGACGCCATCTATTATGCCATGGGAGGGTTTGCGAATTTTTCGCCACGTACCTAATCTCGCTTTCCCAATCGACGGTTCGCACTTGTCACAACATAGGACTGCCACGCAGCACCTAATGCCATGCACCAATTTTCGCCGCTGCGCGTGCCGCCACGCGATCTGCAAAGATGGGCAGGCACGCAAGTGTTTGGTAGTGCGTAGCAACAACACAGCAGTGTCGACAAGGACATGTCCCTACCAAGCTGACAACCCCCCGAAAATTGTTCAAGAAATGTGATGTCCCTCCCTCCCTACCTCCTGTACTGCCTGCTGTTCGACGTTGCCGTGTTGGGGTGCACCTGATTTCACGCTGGCTTTCACTCAATACTCAGATATTCCTCGTTCTTGAAGCCTTTGCAAGCAGAACAGGACGAAGAAGAAGCGAAGCGGAAAATGGACGCCTTACTGTTGGTAAGTGCAATAGTGAATCCTTCACCTAAGTACTTCCTCGTTTCACTAGGGACGAAGCAGTTGAGATCGGTAGCGTCGCACTACGCTGTAAATTGACGTCGCACTGCTGTTGTGCTTGCAATCGCGGTTGCGACGTTCGTCCACCAATCAAGCCCAAATTTGACAACCTCTATATATTGCGGACAATGACTCGACCCCACAACTGCGCCGATATGTTAATAGAGCGGGCGGAGGGTGCTGGTTTCAGGTCCTCAATCGGAGCATCGATCCCGTTTGAGATTTTTGTCTAAATAGCGGAACGTTGACACTGTCGGTATTTTTCGAAAAATATCTTGTCCACAACTGTAACAGTCTGGCAGGTGGAGATAGGGTGGTTCAGCGTTGGAAGAGGGTTATGTCATCCAGTTGGCTTTCAAACTTCGACCCCTCCCCGACGATACGAAACACGCCGAGAGTTCATGCATTGTCCTTGAGGCATATCATCGCGTTTATATGCGTGTCATGGCGTATCGGTAGTCCAAGGGGGGCTTCGTAGGCAGTAACGGAAGAATTGCGTCCTTCAAATTCCTGGCGCAGCGGAATCACATGTTAAATCATTCCGACACGCTCAGCTTCGCTCATATCTAAATATTCCCCAAGCAATAAAAGTATCCCGTCCTGGATCAATCTCGTCTCCCTCGCTTGTAGAGGAGCCGCGTGCATACGCATGGGAATCCCGTGGTACCGGCGGCAGCCGGCGCAAGTGGAGAGGGAGAAGGAAGAGGAGGAGGAAGCGGAGCAGTAGAGGGAGCGGAATAACAATCCATGACGGGAATCATCTCTGGGATCAGCGGCGCTGTCGGTTGGTTGCAGTGTGCGCGATCGCCACGGGACCACGTAATTGGGAATGGATAGAGAACATCGACAAGTCGTGTGTGGAAAAAATCATGGCGTCCGTTATTCATCAGGTACACGTGCTGCGATTACCAGGGTAGATGGCGGTGCGCCACGGAGACCCTCAGGTTCGTTTTGCATCTCCGGGGGGTATTGACAATCAAGGAGCGTGAACTTCACAAATCTTTCCGTGTTCTCGGGTGCAGATAGTGGTCCACTAGGCCGCACGAGCCCAACCAAGTTTCTTGCTGTTGTTGGAGTAATTTTCTGTGAAGTACCCAGGCGTTTTGCCTGCAATCCCCAGCAATGACAGACTGAGGCGGATTTCGTCACCGCGTATTCTATTCATTCCGTAGGCCTTGTTTTCCGATCTCGAACAATTTCAGCCGCTTGGAAAAGCGTTGCCTGTGGACTCCGAAGATGTAGACCGCTTCACTTTACAGCGACGGACCCGGCTAATTATAGTTCAGTTTTCGTTGATCGGGACGGCCTGTTGTTATTCGGTTTGAGTTGCCATGGTGTACTGGTACGAACATACTTCTCACCCATCTGTCATGGGAGGTGGGTGTGTTAGTGAGAGGGAACACCGGATTCCGAGTAGCCTTTCAGTGATGTAGTGCTGTGCTGCTGTGCACAAGGCCTCTGTTTGAGGCACAAACACCCCGGAACTGCAGCGCCGCATTCATACTGGATCTTCAATTTGGCGGTACTGCTGTGGTGCCGTCGAATGTAATTTTTTTGAGGTGCACTCATTTGACCTACAGTATGTATGCCCACGTCCATGCAACGGAGGTCTGCATGAAAGGCGCATCGCAACGATTTGCTGTTGTTACCCCCAAGATTCCCTAGGTGCCCTCCGGGGCTTCGAGGTGGCTTAGTTTTCACAGAGTTAGACAATTGTGCAAGGAACCACAGCACATGTATTACCCAGTATCGCGCCAGGTGTCAGGTAGTAGTAAACGCTGCCATTCTCCGACCGAGGACGCGGCACAGTAAATGCCGTAGGCCTGTTTTCTGGATCGCCTTGCCGTCGAGCGGGGGGGTGGAATGCACCCAATCAACAACGTGCAGTTTTGTCTCCTCTCTTTTCTACTTCAACGTGTTGTAGATACTTATCAAGCACCTGTCCTGCCTGTCATTCTTGTGTGTGAGATGGATGCAGATTGCGTACTGTAGACTACATTTGGCATGCAAAATGCGTGTTGCAGTGCGTAGGGTCGTAGTTCCGCTTGGAGGATGTAGCAGAGAGCGACGTTCGTTTCTCAAGGCCTATGCACACGGCGCTTTGTATTTTTTAATGTCAGTGTCGTGACCAGTACACTACGTAGTCAATGTGTACTTGAAGAATTTCTTGGGAGTACAAGAAACGGCGGGGAAATCATGTCACGACTCCTGGCCTGGGATTCCACGAGATGCAGGGGTGCAAGACAGCAGAGCCTAATAGCATCACATGCAAGTTTCTCCTGTGTTCTCGTCCCATCCATTCCTACTACATTAAGCGGAATAATTTCATGCACCTGCGGGGGAAACAGGCCAACGGTTGTCGGAGTAGACTGCGTATACTTTACATGCCTGCCTGCACTTTCGCACGCAACGAGGGTTCTTCCCTGCCTGTGGATTCACTCCCGGCCATGCGCAGTCAACGTTCTGGTCTGAAAACTACCGAAGAGAGGACGAGTACATGTAGAGAGTCAGAAGGGAACGGGGTTACACGTTGAACCAGCAGGGCGACCATCCAAAAGATTCACATGTGTATCCCCGAAGCAAGTTCACAATCACCAATATCACATGAGGAACGCATATTTTACCATAGAGGAAAACGGAACAGAGAGGTCACCCTTCGCTCTGCTGTGACTGGATCGAAACCTTCCAATCCGATGGTTTGGATTCAATTGGCAGAAGCTTCCCCACGCGCGTGTTTACTACTGTGAATAGTAGCAACCGATGAGCCCATGCCCGCAGAGCCTGGGCAGCGGCGCACAACCAACGCGATCGGCGCGTTTGTGCTGCTCCGCTGGGAAAAGGGGTGATGAGTCGACCTGGCGGTGATCCAATCGCAAGCCGCCCATACCTCGTACAGAACCACGTGGGGAACTTGCATTTTCCCACCGTCTTCAGTGAACGAGAGACTCGGCGGTCGTTGAAAAGATAGGAGAATACAATGCCACGTTGCCTACAGTATGTGTTGTCCTACTTCACGAAACCCTGGATGCGCGTAGGGCGCTAGTAGTCTTCAGGAAGATACAGGAGCTGTCCATGGGCTGCTTTCCTGATCGGAGAAAGAGAGGAAGACTGGGCGGCTCGGGTCACAAGCAATGACGTGAACTCGGTAGGAAGCCAAGTGAGTTCATTCTTGTGCTGAGAAGGTTGGACAAATCTGTAAACGATGATGGAAGTTTGGGGCTACTTGACGCCACATCATAAGGGTGATCTCCCACAAATCAACTCGCTCGATATCTTGCTTGAAGTACCGCCCTTGCCAGCAATATTTTGTACTGGAGACAGCGCAGTGTACCACTCAATCAATTGGCAAGGGCTTTGCTTGCTGTGCCATGACCACGAGCAAAAATCGGAGCAATATCGAGAGGGCCACATGAAAATACTGTGTTGCTCTCCACCCTGAAAAATCCAATCTCCCACACTACTGACAGTTTTCCCAAATGACCCATGGGCGGCCCATGGGTGGGCCGCCCATGGGCACTTCATGGGCTGTCCATGGGTGGCCCATGGGTCCGCCCATGGGCTGCCCATGGGCGGCCCATGAAATGCCCGTCATGGGCTTAGCATGAGCATGCTCATCATGGGCTGCCCATGGGCCGCCCATGGGCAATGGGCAGCCCATGGTGAGCACTCACGCGACCTCCCACCGTGGGCAGCCCATGGGCAGCCCACCGTGGGCACTCGTACAACTGCCCATCATGGGCTGCCCATGGACGGCCCATGGGCACGGGCCCATGCATGGGCAGCCCATGATGGGCGCTCACGCGGCTGCCCATGCATGGTGGGCTCGTGCGTTTTGTGGGCAGCCCATGCGCAGCCCATGGTGGACACTTACGCAACAGCCCATCATGGGTTTACCCATGGGCTGTCTATGGGCACCCATTGGCACCTTCGAAACCCACGGGCAGTGCCCAGTGCCCCGCATTGGGCACTGCCCGTATTGGGCACTGCCAATTGGCAGCCCACGGGCAACCCATGACGGTCACTCGCGAAGTGAAGCAACCGGCGATCGTGGGCAAAAAAAATGTCCATGATGATGGGCTGCCCACGGTCTGGCTAGCGTCGTGGGCACCCACGCACATGCCCCGCAAGGGCTGTCCGTAGAACGGCCATGGCGTGTATAGAAATCTACGCAGACATACACAAAACCACCCATGCGGACTTAACACGGATACTTCTTAGGGTATTTTGGCCAAAGTACTAGTTCTAGTATGCACAGTGTCAGTAGTACTGTAGGCCAGTGGTTAGCCAAAACTGAGTTCGCGGGAAAGCTATCTACTCCTCGAAGAATTGGTAAGTTTTCAAACGGAAAACGGCGTTCTGGCCGCAGAACAAGCGGCCACAACACTCTGCTGGTCCAGCATTACCATCTTCCCTACAACATACTGAACCAGGAACGCCTAAAACATTTCATAGGGATAATGACCCAATGAATTCCTTTCCTGTTCCTGGTCACTACTACATCCTGTATCTCACCGTACATCCGCTTTTATCAAGATCGAAAGAACCCGAATTTTCCTTTAATCCCGGCGAATCTGCTGCAATAGACGGGGTGTGATTCGTCCATGTGTTTCTCGAAATATTCCAAAAGAGAAAAGGAGCGAAATGTTTCCCTGAGTGGTATTTGCAGTATTTATTTTGGCAATGCTATTTGCTCCAGTGGTGGTGGAGTAACCTCGTATTTGCTCCACCATGCAGATCTCCACCCACAGAGCTTCGATCAACCTCAAACGAATTGCATCGTGTAGCTATTGACTACAGCTTCTGCAACGCTACTTGAATGCTAAATCCGACAGGTGTCTGAAGAGATATGCTGAAAGGGGGGCTCCGCAGCATGTCAGGAAGCAGTGATCGCCCGAACCTCCCTCTACACAGCGTTCATTGGCCTCTAACCTTTTTCGTCGTGTCCACACGGTCTATACCGTTCTTCCAAGCTATCGGACACTCCCATCTAATTAATATGTTCCCGCAGAGATAAGGTCACCAGAGGGGGTTCCGCAGTATCAAGGGGGGGGGTGTTTCATACTCATACTTATTGTCGTGCATGCCGTAGTCGTTAGACCATTGACCTCGCAACCCTACAAAGTCGAGACGGAGCACGTCGGGTTTTGACCGGACCAGGCTCTCACATCACCAAGCGCAAAGCGCCGTCAGGTATTCGGCGAGTCGCATGACGGGTGAGCTGCATCCTGCTAAGGGTGTTCGGCATCTTGTGCGTACTTCCTTGCCTACGGATGACAGGTGCGTATGACTAAATTTATTTTCTGGTGCTTTGA